CTCTCCCTCTCTCTCTCTCTCTCTCTCTCTCTCTCTTTCTCTCTCTCTCTCTCTCTTCCATATCGTCAACCCTACTCTTTCATGTTTCTCATGGTGTCTATTTTCAGCTCTTCCAGTACTGATACTCTCTGCTCCCCGCCATCTCTCTCACTCTCTACTCACCACCATCTCTCTCACTCCCTACTCACCACCATCTCTCTCCCTCTCTACTCCCCTCCATCTCTCTCACTCTCCACTCCCCACCACCTCTCTCACTCTCTACTCCCCACCATCTCTCTCACTCTCCACTCCCCACCATGTCTATTACTCTCTACTCACTACCATTCCTCTAACTCCCTGCTCCCCATCCTCTCTATTACTCTCTACTCACTACCATCTCTCCAACTCTATGCTCCCCACCATCTCTATTACTCACTACCATCTCTATTACTCTCTGCTCCCCACCATCTCTATTACTTTTTGCTCCCCACCATCTCTCTAACTCTGTTCCACACCGTCTCTCATGCTTTCTGATCGTGGGTGGTTGGTGGGTGCTCTGTTGTGGTTCTTCTTTCCTATCAAGCTTCTATCGTCCTTATCTCCCCTGCTTCTTTTTTAGGTTTGTTACTCTCTGGTAACACCTAATCTTCTGGCGCTCATATGCAAGGATACTACTTTTCCGTTTTTTCCCGATATTTTTTGTATTTTGATCCTGATCTGCTATCCCGTTATTGAGATCGAGATATAATCTATAGTTGGAGAAAAAGAAAATTAGGTTTCAAATTGATATTCATATGTTAGCGAGACTGGCGCGCAGATTTTCAGCTATTTAAAAAAAGTTGAGTGGCATCCCTGCATATGATCTTATGCAGTTGCGAGCGCCGTAGAACCACTACTAAAACAAACAAGCACTCTGATCCCCACCATCTCTCTCACACTCTGCTCTCCCTTACTCTCGAACAAGTGCCCCCACCACCCTCATATCACTATTCTTCTGTGTTACAACTCTTTGATTACATGTCTATCTCCCTTGTTGTCCTCAGCTGCGTTTCCCCCTGGTGGCCCTCCACCACCCCAGCCTGTTCCACCCCCGGGAGTGAGGCCCCCACATCTGAGTGGACCTGCAGGTAGGTGTGGCCTGTGACAGGCTCACATGCACCTACAAGTGGCTCGTCTTTATTGAACTTCTATTGGCCAGAATGACGTGCTCTGTGCTGTTTCTGTTCACTTACGTTTTTTAGAATGACAGTGTGTCGTTTTCACCTTCTCTTATTAAATACAGATTTCCGTCCAGTCCTAAGAAATCCTTGCATATAATATTTGTGAAGTAAAAAGAGGACATGATGATTTTGCTAGAATTCAATGCTTGAAGGCATATTTTCCCAGTGAGGCTGAATGCTGAAAAAAGCAGTTGTATTGTAGAGCCATTTGTTCAACAATTTTGACTTGGATTCTGTCGGATGATACAATAGGCTGTGTTTGTGTTTTCATTTCTGCCTCTTGGTAAATGACTGTATGTTTGTAAATTGTATTTATGCATTTGTCTTCCTGTATTTGTATATGTAAAACTGAATTTCAGTGTTTGTTTATGTTACACAAAACTTTGTGGTTGGCTGGTGCTCTGGTGTAGTTTGTTCCTCCTTGCCTATTAAATATCTCTCCTCCTTTTCTTTTTTGGGTTACTCTAAAGCAATACCTGTAATCACCGGCTTTTTTATAAGGCCTAATTGTTGCAAATGCCTTATAACTCTTATTAACAACCTAACTTACCACAAAACTTTTATTATTGAACTCCTTGGAGCGGTGCCACTGATTCTGGTGTCTTTAGGCCATTCCCAAAGGGGGAGACATTTCTCGTTCAAGCACAGTAGAACTGTAAATGGGCTGATTCATCATGTCACGCTCATAACTGTGCCTGATCTTCAACAGGGAACTGCTGCTTTTTCTTTCCAAATCCTTACTATCATCATTTTTCCTCTACTTCTTTTGTATGTTTGTCACTCTCTTGTGAACTGCTATTTCCGGGGTGCCTTGATAGTCGAAGCAGACCTTGTGCTGTTGAAGCTAGAGAGGTGAGCAGAGTAAGTCTTGATTCCCTGTAAAGACTTCTCTGTTGACACCTGCCCCTTGGGGCTCATATGACCTTATGCAGTTGCGAGTGCCGTAAGACCCTCAACTAAAAGAGAAAAAAATTTATTATTGCATGTCTGCAGTGGGCCTGCCGCCAGCTAACAACTTGCCACCTGTGTCCAGCGCGCCTCCCCCAGGCCATGCCCCCCCACCAGGACATCCACCTTTCTTTCCTCCTCCAATCTCTGGACCACCACCTGCGGTAAGCCCTGTGTTGTTTAGGCTCTGCTTTTAGCACCGCTGTTAACAGGATAGAGATGTTTCTTTTTCTTTTTTTAAACTTGATTATTGTTGTCATCTGTTAAAATATAATTTCAGTATCTATATATATAAAAGTGGACTTCGGAGGCTTTGTACACTAACTCCTCCCTTATTACCTCACCCACACCTTTGAAACTTTGCAGGCGTCCACAGCATTCATGTGGCTAGGACCTGACTTTAAAAAATTCACGCAAACTGCTTTCCCCGATTTTTCCAAAATGCTTTGTTTCATCCACACAGAATCTTGGGAAAGACCGTCTTCTAAGACACCCTTGTAAACAAGTGAGGTTACCGTTCATTATCCATGCGCATTGGTTCCACACCTTTGAAATTCTGAAGTGTACAACCCCGAAAGCGGAATAGAGAATATATATATATATATATATATATATATATATATATATATATATTTGGCAACTTGGAAACGCGTGTGTCACTTTTCTCTCAAGATTTATTGCTCCATTCCAGTAGAGTGTAAATGTAGTAGGCCAATGACTTTCAGTTGAAGTTAATGCACGGATCATTCCTTTCATCGAAAAGGGGCCCAGCTAGTGTACAATCAATTTCTATGTGCGACTCTCTTCATGTTTGAGGACAGTGCAAAAACCCCCCACTGTTGTTGAAAGTAAAAAAAAAAAAAATTCATGATACCATTGCTTGAAAAACAAAGTTATTTCTTTGTCAGATTGTAGATGTAACTGACCTCCTGTTCACAAATGTATCTGAGACCTGTGCACAAATGTAACTGAGACCTGTGTTGGTCTGGATGTCTACCTTTAATTTTCTCTTTTGTGTTTTTCCCAATATACAGTGATAGTGGGGTACTGAGAATATATATAGAGAGAATAATAACTACAGTGCAGTCAAAAATTTCTGGCGAAATTAATATGAACTTATTGTCATCTTCAACTGTCGAACAAAGGCTGTCCAGCTTTTGCACAATGGCTTGTATCAATTTGTCTACAGATCAATATTTTTGTAAACACCTGTCAGTTGTATTCTCGAAAATTCCTTAATGAATGCTAATAAAAAATCCCAGTGAGTGTTTTCTACATATTTTATAAGGTTCACAGCTGGTGCAATATCGCTATTAAAAGCGAGTCGGTCATTATTTTTCTGATGCGACATCATGTGTTGAGAACTTCAGTTCAAAAGTTTTCACCATAAAATTAATATCTTGAAATAAATTTTGACTCTAAAAAGAGTCCTTGGTGAGCTGTGACATAGGCCATATGTGTACGGTATGCAAAATGTGTTTGAGAAGCCGGAAGTGCTTTGAATAATCCCTTACGCCGCTTGACGAGATTGATAGTATTTTACACAAATTTATAAAGGAAAGTTTTCAAATCCATCCTCAATTGTTGTTGAAAAATATGACTAAGTTTACACGAATTGAGACAAACTGCTGCGCAAAGGATGGGTGATATTGATTCGCACATTTTAAAGGCATTTGAGGATAAGTTGCACCACAAATTGTTTACTGCACAATAATCCTGTGAGTTAAAACACGTTCCTCCGTAGTAGCATATTTCAAGCAACACCCAATCTTTCCTTATTGGTACAAAAGTTTTCTCTTTGGAAAGCATGAAAGGCTGTGGAACCAGTGTACTTCTTACTTGCTAATGACATGCTCCCCCTCTCTCCCTCTTCCGCATATGCGCACTTGCAAATGTTTTATTGCCGGTATTATCGTATAAGATCCAGAGGCGATTTTTGACAAACTTTATTTTTAATGAGAATGAAAATAGACTTATATGTTTGTCCATACTTGAAAGGAATAATGCTGAGAGGGGGTTAGTTAAATAGAGAAATGTGATAGTAGGTGGGTGGATTTGACCGTTGATAGTGGAAACTGTCCCTAGTAGAGATGTCCTATTCAACAACTCTGATTTGTAGCACTATTTTTTGTTATCGGTCTCTTCTGTGCTTAACTTGTATTTGTTGGGATAAAGGGAAGGTTACAGTGGTAGAGTATATTTTCTTCCTTATTTTTTTTATTTTCAAGAAAATTTGTAGTTTTAAAAAAAAGTTTTTTCTCTCTACATCCAGTAGCAGGACTGCCTGTTTGGTTTTGCTTCTGGGTCTAAGCTAGGTGTTTATTTTCAAATAAATGCTCTATCGAACTTGTATTGATGTTGGCTTCTTTGTGTGGTTTCAGACAAGTCACCCACCCCCTGATCCATATGGCCGACCACCCCCATCAACATACTCGCCAGAGAACCCGTACTCCCGGCCTCCTCCAGACAGGTAGGTGTTGATGTCAAATGAACTTTCTCCTCTAGCTTTTGTGTTGTACAGTCACACCAGTGAGGTACACATGACATGGAGAGACATAACTAATGAGGGCGTACAGAGGCGTGACTAGTGAGGAATTACAGACACGACTCGTGTGGGTGCTGTATAGAGTTATGTCTAGTGAAGATATACAGAGACATGACTAGTGAGGGTGCTATGTTGAGTTATGTCTAGTGAAGATATACAGAGACATGACTAGTGAGGGTGCTATGTTGAGTTATGTCTAGTGAAGATATACAGAGACATGACTAGTGAGGGTGTTATATAGTTATGAATTTTTTACCAGTGACACTTCCCCAGAAGGTTGCGTGTTCAAATCACGTCGGGGTCACCGATGTAGGTAGCTCTTTACTCACCTGAGATTTCTACAGGATTGGCCGTGTAGGACAGTCGGGTCAGGCGGTGTTTTCATGTGAGCACTTCGCAGGTCCGTGCGAATTCATGGTCTTGTCAGCTGCTGTGTTGTTAGTTAATTGGGTGTTCGGGGAGTCACTACAGTAATGTCTAGTGAAGATATACAGAGACACGACTAGTGTGGATGTTTTATAGAGTTATGACTAGTGAAAATATTGAGACATGACCAGTGTGGGTGTTATATTATAGAGTTTAGTCTAGTGAGGATGTACAGAGACAGGTTTAGTGAAAATATAGAGAGACATGACTAGTGAAGATATACGGAGACATGTCTAGTGAAAATATACAGAGACATGACTAGTGAAAATATACAGAGACATGACTAGTGAAAATATACAGAGACATGACTAGTGAAGATGTACAGAGACATGTTAAGTGAAAATATACAGAGACATGACTAGTGAAGATGTACAGAGACATGACTAGTGAAAATATACAGAGACATGACTAGTGAAGATGTACAGAAACATGACTAGTGAAGATGTACAGAGACATGACAAGTGAAGATGTACAGGGTTCTTGGTTTGTTAGGACGACACTATGTCATTTGATATGGGCTCTGAAGTGTGTCGTCTCATCATTCATTGCTCATGTGATTTGCAATCTGGTGTCAGTTCTGTCGTGTGCCATCTCACTTTACTCCTGTGTTGTGTGTCATATCTTATCAGTCATGTGTCATCTCACTTGTTCAGGTCTGCGACATGTGTATGTGTTGTCTCACATTTTTTATGTCATTTGCCATATTGTTGGCGGGTGCTATGGTGTGGTTTGCTTCCTTTCCTATTAAACGTCTGTCGTCCTTATCTTTTGTCTTCCTTTTTTGTTTGTTACTCTCCTGTAACACCTCTAATCATTGGCACTTTATATGACCTAAATGTGTTGCAAGTATCATAAAACACTTGACTAAAACAAAAATTTGTCAAACATGTTGGATCTGTCTTGTGTCATTTCACATCATTTTTCTTTTCTTCTTTCTCCTCAGTCGTCCCAGACCAGCAGAACTGAGACAGAGCCCGGTCAGGTTAGACAATGGAGCCTCTTTACACTTCCATTTGTGTCCTGCAGCAACTCTTCCTGAGTATTTTGTTGTGGTAGATTATAGATATGCAGCCACAAAATTCTTATGTGTATGTTTGGGACATGGTATGTTCATTGCACACACACACACATACATACTCCATTTAATCAGCTGATAGGGGAATTTGGATATCAATGCAGAAATGTATTACACCAACATCACCTGTCATGTAATTTCAGAATACGGACAATACCAACATGTCACTGTGAGTTTTACTTGTCATGAGTCGACAAAGAATTTTTTGTGATCTCTCTACTTGAGTGTCCCAATTTCAACTGGGGTCTCTATAGAAGTTTAGGGTAGTACAACAGAACTCTCATTAGCATTTGTAGAGTGAAATGTAATGATTTGACTGAAAGATGCATGAATATATGCTAGAGTAGAGACTTGTTGAAGCAAATATAAGCCCAGATCTCTTTGATCCCTGCAGGCATGAACCGCAGGCCCCACCACTGAGTGATCAGGAGTTTGCCGAGATTTTCCAACGCAACAAGACTGTTTCCAGCAGCGCCATCAACCGTGCAGTTCAGGATGCCAGCTCAGGTGAGAGTCACAGTTCCAAGGGTTGTAGAGTCAGGGTAAACCGATGTGCAGTAGCATTTCTTTCCCAAAGATGGGGCTTTATTTTTCTTGTATGTCATGTGGTGTCTGTTCTCCTGTAGATAATGTGATGTAATTTCTCTTACAGATGTTGTGGCTCCTTTCCTCTCATAGATCATGTGGTATTTCTCTTACATGTTACGTTGCGTCATTTTTCCCACAGATAGTTTGATGTCATTTTTCTCACAGCTCCTAATAGACTGATAGCTTTGAAATGTAATGTAGGGCTGAAGTCTCCATGGAACATGTGTCAGTAAGGTTGTAAGTAATGTAATGCACCAATCGCAATGGAGCAGGTGTTTGCCTGGCTGCATTGTTGTATTAGTTTCTGCATTGTGACCCCACTGACTCAGATCATTGTTGTTCATTGATTTTCCTGTATCTGGCCGCCTCCTTCTCTTTGCGAATTGGGGAGGGAGAGGACTGGTGTAGTTCTGCTCTGCTGTTTTGTTGTCTGTTTGATGACAATTTCTTTTCTATGTTTGATGATGCTGACTCCTTTGTGTAAGACTTCGCCATTTGCTGCTTTAAAAAGAGATGCGGGATGGAGTCTTACACTGAGCAGTTGATAGGCTGTTTGTATGTTTGGCTATAGATTGTCTTTGTTTAATTTAAACAGGTGACTTTGCCGGGGCTATTGAAACTTTGGTGACTGCAATTTCCTTGATCAAACAGTCAAAGATTGCTGGGGACGATCGTTGCAAAATTCTGATCAGTTCCCTCCAGGACACTCTTCATGGTATTGAGGAGAAATCATATGGGTCCAGGTAAGTGTTCCATCTGCCCTCTGATTTACAAAGCTTTTGTCTTTTTTTAACAAAATACATTAGGCAGTGTTTTTCTGATTATAGACACATTAAGCAGGTATTCCTGCTGTCCTGAAATTACCATGACAGTCAGCAATTGGGAATCTGAGAAGAGATGATATACACTACACCAAAAATCAGCCCCACTTGATGTACAAGAGCAGGAATTACGAGTAGATTTAGGAGGTAACTTTATCTAAAAAAGGCACTTAATCTAGTGTAAGTTAGCCTAGCTAGACTAACACTCAAGGCATAGGAAGCATCAGCGATTTTTACAGTTTATGACATTCACTTTTGCATTAAACCCTGCTTTTTAAAAATTTCACTCACAAATGAACAATGTTTCTGCTTTAGAAAAGTTGCAGGATATGTGCTTTTGATTTGTTTTTAAATTGCGTTTCAAGCATTTTTTTTGGTATTTACTTCACCTCTGTTTGGACAAGCACCCGAAAAAATTCTGCATTTGCATAAATTTTCTCTATTTCTGAAAGGTCATCACAAACTACATGAGGTTTCTTTTTTGTCATTTTTGTTATATTATGGTAGTGTGTTATTTCAGGTGTTTCTGTAGTGAGAAGATGATTTATATGGTGTTAGTTTAATTCTTGTGAACTTTTAAAAATCTCCTAAAATGTCCAGACTCCAGGGCATTTGTTTCTGAATAAAATCCAGATACAAGTTAGTAAATGTTCTTCTGATTTTGGATAGGAGCAGTCGGAGGTCTCGCTCAAGAGATAGAGATCGGGAACGTGAACGCCTTGAGAAAAGGCCACGTCATCGTTCACGTAGCAGAGAGAGAGATCTAAGGGAGTACCGTGAGCGATCTCGGGAGCGTGATCGTGAGAGGGATCGCCATTATGATGATCGGCGCGAGAGAGAACGCGAACGTGAACGCAGCGAGAGAAGTGACCGAGGGGAGCGTGAGCGAGAACGCGAGCGTAGTGACAGAGAGAGGGTGGAGCGGGAGCGCAGTGACCGGGAGCGTGCAGACAGAGAACGTGTGGAGAGAGAGCGCAGTGAGAGGGAGAGAAGTGACCGGGAGAGAGAGTACAGCAGCAGTCGCCGACACTGAGCTCCTCCTGTTCTTCATCTTCATCATCACCACAGGTACTTTCCCTTCACATCTCTGTATGTGCAATTGTTTATATTATGTGTCTGTTCATGTGTGGACTTGTTCTTTGTGGATTCATGTCTCTGCTCTCAGAATAGGCAAAAAAAGTTTGTCCAGGGCTAGTACTGGCTTCCATCTTATCCTGGTCTTATGGTCAACTTGTGTGGGCAGAGTGCACGTCTGGCAGAGCCTGTACGTAGAGCTGTCCCGCCAGCCTATGACAGACTCTTGTCTAAGGCTGTCACACTTCCATATGATAAGGTGAGTCTACTTAGCTTTGCTTGTATTCGTTGTCCTTTTGTTTATTGCCTGTTCGATGTCTGACCCAGGTTTTCCCCCATTTATTTTCCAGAAGTTGAGAGCGGAGCAGAGCACTCCTCTCGGACCCTCTTTCTTTGTTCTTCTACCTACAGTATGTCTAGCCTGCTGAGAGCCGCGCACAGCACAGCATACTACTTAGTCACATTTCTTCTTGCAGTTCTCCCCAGTCACGAGCTGGACAAAGATCTCTTCCTCAACTATGTGTTGTTCATGTGGAACCAGGAACCTGTGACTTTTGTATTTGTTTGTGTGGAGAGAGTGACCAGTGATGTGTGTGTTGTTGGTGTGGAAAGAGTAAGCTGAGAAATGTGTGCCTGTGGAGAGGAAGGGGAGAGATACATGTGTGGGGAGTTTGTGTGACTTGTGTGGAGCTGAAGGGCCACAGTGGGTAGCTGACATACCCCCCTCTTGTGGGCTCAGGGGGACATAAATAACAACTGTTTTGATGTAAACATTGTATCATGGGCTAGTGTTCAAGGCTTACAAGTTGATTCTGCAGTTCTAGAGGGTCTGAGTAAGTCGTAGGTAAGATCTTTGGGGCCTATAGATGAAGGAACAGTTCAGGTAGATTGTGGCCTTGCTGTCTCCCCACCCTGACTTTTAAAGTCCTCATGGTGGACTAATTGATCAGTGCTCTTTGGTGTTGCTGGTTCATTTGGAAAAAATACAAGTCCACATAGGGCTGAGCCATGTTGCACTGATGTTCAAGGCAATTTATTTTGCCACACAGTCTTGTGTTGATGTCAGGAGGGAATTACCTTTGTCCTTCATGCCGTTGAATATTTTCAGTGTGACTGTTGTGTGAAAGTTAAGCTTTGTGTGTAAAACCCCGGTGATGTTTATCTAATTTAATGAAGTTTGTCATTTGTAGATCAAAATGTATGTTAAATTATTATTAACCATGAACAACCAAATACAGTCAATATTTGACATTTCCCGTTTAGACATTGCAATACAGTGAGTGTGTGATTGCTGCGTGTTGATGATACTGAGCATGAAGGAATTTCACTCTTTATATTTGTATGTAAGACAATGAGCAAAACAAAGTTGCAGTGCAGTCCATGATTTCTCAGCAAGCATTCTTGATGTTGAGATGTATCCAGCCATGGCTCTCACACTTTGGCCAGTGGGTGATTCTGTCTAGTTTCCCGCTAGAATCATACTGTGTGCACATGTCTCCAGTGCAAGTCCCCGACCCCATTTGTTTTCCAAGAGAAACTAGCAGATGTGTTATGGGACAATGACTGGTATTTTGTATCTGTATCTCTCAGCAGGAAAAGGATATAATTTGGGAAAGACTTTTATCTTATCCCGATATCTCAGAGAAGCTAATGGATGCACCGGGGATAAAGACATATATCTTTCCCCTATTGTTCTAGAAAAGGCTACAGATAGACTTGTAATTCATATATCTCTAAAAAGCTCACAGATATGCTGTGGATAAAGATTTTTTAATCTCATTTCTCTATTTTAGGAAACATGTACATATTGCATTTTCTGTGTCATGAAAAAAAAAATGTGTCAAATGAAAGCAAAGGTTCAGGGAAAAAAGCCAAGTTATTATAACATTAGAATTTTGTTATGAGAATGCAGAGCGTTATGGACAAAAGTATTGTTACAAGATAGCATGGTGTGTTAAAAGTAATATGGAAGGACGCTTGCCTTTTTCTAACTACGCGAAGACTGCCGTTGTATGAGATACTATTGATTGAAATTCTTTGAGTCATTTGTATTAGAAGCTGTGTTAGGCAAACATCTTTTTTATCTACTAGTGCTTAAAAGTTCCGTGAGCCCTACTGTCAATTTAGAAACTGTAAGGTAGCAATGACCACGAAAAACCTTTTTTTGCCAGAAAGTGTTTGCAAATAGGTGCATTTTGTAGCTTTATCTTCACCAAGCATTGAACTTTTTTTGAAATTTTGAAATCCATCAATAAACAAAAAAGTTACGTATTTTTTAATCAATTAATTTCTGGTGCACTTTTATATAATGAAAAAACCCCCAAATATGGGACGTTCTTTGGGTGAGTTTTGAGACAATATTCGTCATAACTCGCTCATTTCTCGGAGTATTTAAAAGAAACTTTGCAACCCAGTACATTTTCTAGTGCAGAATCTAGTCCTGCTTTCAGATTCTTCATAGCTATCCTATTTTTTGAGTTATGAAGACGTTTATAGGTAAAAATGTGGCG